GGGGGGGGGGGGGGTCTGAAAATCAGTAAACGGTAAAAATTTTTGTATTTTAACAGTAAAATTTTGGGGTTTTAACGGTAAATCTTTGAAAAGTGTTCTGAAACGATAAACAGTATTTGTTTCCTCACGCTTCACAGTAAATTTTTGGTGTTTTCACGACTGGCGGTAACCAAAATTGAGTGAATCACGACTCACGATATACCCCATCAACACACTCCTGTAGTATAATAAGAAAGCTTTGCATTAATAGGGATACAACTACCTGAAAAATAGGCCTAAATTGTCAGCACTAACAATGAAAGTACTGACATCCCAAAGAAGGGCCTCCACTCAAAACGTAGAAATTCTCCTAGTATTTTTCAAGTATTTGTTATATCCCTATAAATCCATAGCTTTCTGACATAAATCATTATATAAAATTAACCCATTGAGCCACACTAAGCCCCAGTTATTTTTTTTTACTTGTCTAACGCCAGACGATTTTACTCGTCAACGGGGAAGCTCTGCACCTTAATTAATGGGTTAACTAAATGGTGCTTTGAAGGCTGTTTGAACATCACTAAACTAATCTCCAGACTATGCTCAAAACTAAGAAGTATTTTAAATAGTTTCCCATAGTTCAGACACAAACCACACAGGATACAACAATAATTAAACTAACCTAAATCTAGTAGAACTGTTCCCAGTTGTTTCCCAAGCCTGCCACAACCAACAATCCCAATTTTCAAACCACTGAAGCTCGATGTTATACAACTCTTACTGGAAGACTAGATGTCAATAAGTAAAACACAATCAATATTTAATCAAGACACTCCAGTGTAAAAAGTTTGTATTGTGCCCCCGAGATATTGGGTGTGCAATTTTGATGATACTTTCTATATATTTAGTATTAAATGTTTGAAATCTCGGCCGCACAATTTCCAGACTTTCCATCAGGAAGACACGTATTATAATAGACCAATAGATATTATACTGCCTGAATTTGTCGAAGTCATAAAGAGCTACACTAAATTATTTTCATGAGTGATTCAAGCCTATACTCACTCTAGTTTTTTCCAAAATTAATTCATTGACTTCACTTAGTGCTGACACAAAATACACCCTAAATAACATTCATTAAATGAGCAGTGAACACTAACATTTATTTTATTTTTAACATTTCATATTAACACTAACATTATTGTTATATTTAACAAAATCACGTAGTCTTCAGTCCTCGTGTTTCTAGTTTTTTCTATCACTTGATCCTCTAGCTTATTTTCAAAGTGAAAAGTCCCCAAAATACTTACGCCTGGGCACATGCTGTTGAAATAGCAGCTAAATTTTTTTGACGAAGTCGAATTAAACCTCTCCTAAAACATAAAATACAACATGTTTGAACGATATTTTAACATCTTAAGAAAGAATAAACATCGCTTCCAACCTCTCGTCGTCTGGAAGTGCTGAATCAAACTGCAAAGACGGTAAATTTTTGGTTATATCGTCTAAACTTGACATGATCGCCCAAATTTAAATCGCCATATTGAAAATTTTTAAACTTTGCGCCCGCACCGTTGTCACAGAATCTTGGTAACACAGCCTGCGAGCAGGTGGTTTAGTCTACTACCGTCATTTACATCTAACGATGAACACGCGCATGTTGTCGATTCAAAATTTAACCAAATTAAAAACCACCAATAAATTCTAAAAATGTTACTTTACATACAAACTATATTACAGATTATATACACTAAACTACAAAAATTACACGAATGCATAATTTACAACGCTAAATTAATTATTATCGTTAGTGACTACAAAATAGGTAGGTTTCACAAAGCACTAACGTACAGCAGATGTTGGTCAACCTGCAGTTATCAGAGAGAGAAAATAATGTTCATTCTTTTCATTATTTGCAGCAGTCTTTATTTGGCAGTAAACTGAGAGATGAAATTCAATAAGTGTCACTGAAATTGATCCCCATCTGCTGCCCAGTAATGTTGACTGAAACCATTCGTCGTTTATTAGTGAATCAGGGTGTTAGCCAGAAGAAAAAAGTTTTGTCCGTTAAACGTAAATTGGGAAAGCTTTTTTTGACCGATCAAAGTCCTTGTATAGGAATAAATAGTGTTTTTTTCCAACGTGTTTCTCCTCAGATGCAAATAACGGTAGCTTGGTTTTGTACATTTCATTTCCGGTGAATGAACACTGAAAAATGCACCCGATGGCACTTCGTTTTGTATATTTCATTTCTGGTGAATGAACACGGATGCACACCGATTACACTTTGTTTTATACATTTCATTTCAGTGAATACACACCCAATATGAATGAAACGCGAAACATTTTGAGAAAATAGTTAATGGAAAAAAATAAATAAATAAAACGTTCTTTGATATAATAATATAAAATCAAACGCAATGCACTTTCTCATCAGAAAAAATGAAAATCTTCCTGTAGACCCAGTTGGGAAAGCCCCTTAGCTACTTCAATTGGGAAGAGTCCGTCAAACGGACAGTATATATGGGCTAGCTAACACCCTGTGAATATTGAGAACCATTATTTTGATTCGTGAAATTTAGATTTTCTGGTCAGGATGGATCAAGCATAAAAAGTTCGTTGACAAGGAAGCATGTTTCCATCGTGTCAGAGCCACTTAGCTTCTCAAATTCTTGCCTAGATGGACGAAAGATACATAAAGTGTCAGTTTATTTATTAATTCTAGCGACTCAACTTGTCAAGAAAAAATGTTGGTCATACACTCGAGCAAGTCCGCTTTTGAGACTTGGAAGGCTGCTCGTCTGTATAGGAGAGTCGACAAACAACGTGATATTTTACCCTGGATGATCTTCAATTTTATTCTTTCCATTCTGACACAACTCTTTGACTTCATTAAATGCTTTTTCACCAAGAACATTTATGCATCCCCTAGTGTTTGGTGAATAATAAAACAGTTTAAGGTCGATTTGCACCACACAACTTTTGCCTAAAACTGTCGCATGCAACCTACAACGTAGGCAAGTTGTGTGTTTGATTTACACAGTACAACTCAAGTTGTAAGCAGGTTGCATGCGACAATTTTAGGCAAAAGTTATGTAGCGTAAATTGGCCTTTACAAAAATAAAAATATTATTTGTTGTTATGTTTGCAACTTGCAACACACTTAAACACTTCATAAGAGGAAACTGTCTTGGCAAGTAAGCAAACTGTCTTACTCTTTTATGATGTCTCGACAAGATGATGCCGGTCGTTCATAATCTTCAACTGTCTCCTCAGGCACTAATAAAGAAGTTCAAAAACTTGATAAATCTTGACTACGTTGATTTCATTTCGATAAAGTAAAGAGGAACTACAGTATAGTGTATACCTTCTAAGTCTTGGGCTGCCTTTGCTGAAGCGAGAATATTTCGCAGAGACTAGAATATAAGGAAACGGAAATATCAGAAATAATTGACCATAGTTTGCATGACGTCATTACCATGCCAACAGCTATATCATCGTCGTCATCATTATCAACACCACCACCACCACCATCATCACCATCATCAAAACTACTACAATCACCAGCACCACTAATGTCACCACCACCATCATCACCACAACCATCATCAAAACTAATACAATCAACAGCACCACTACCGTCACCACCACCATCGTTGCCACTATCAACATCATCATCACCATAACCACCACTACCACATCATCATCATCACCATCATCACCATCATCACCATCACCATCATCACCACCACCATCATCATCACGATCATCACCATCATCACCATCATCATCACCATCATCATCACCATCATCATCACCACAACCATCGCAACTATACCTCAGAATCGGAATCCTGTTCAAACTCTTCATCAGAGTAACTCTCGACATTCACACCAACTTTACTCAAACCAACTCCTGTCTTGGCCGCCATTGGCTCCTTGATGGACTCATCTCCCTCCCCTTCGTCAAAGTCATCGGAATACTCCGCCTCGTCGTCGTCGGATGACGCCTCGAAATCGTCAGGGTAATCGGGACTGGTCGGTTCCTCTGGGACAACAGGAGACTTGGATAGTCGGGAAGAACATCGCTGGTTACTGGCCGACTTCACACGGAGATCTTCGTTTGGACTAAATATTAAAAAAGAAATACAATAAGCTCGCATTTCTTAATAAATACTGTAGTTCATGATATCGAACAACTTGTCAAAAAGATGTGTTCGCAACAGATTTGTAGCAAGTTTGTCAACAAGTAGTAACAATGCTGTTATTTTATCAAGTTGCTACAAGGTTGTTACTAATTGTCGAATTGCAGGACGATAACAGGTTGTTGGAACAACTTGTGACAAGTCTGTTGAGCTCAACAACCTTCTAGCAAGTTGCCAACAAGCCGTTGACAAATTGTCAACAAGCTGGGAACAAGCAGTGCGAACACATCCTGGTGACAGTTGTTGGAACACGTAAAAACGCACAAGTTGTTACAAGTCTGCAAACAAGTTGTTACAAATCTGTTCACAAGCTGTCGACAAGTTGTGTTCGCACTGCTTGTTCCCAGTTGTTGTAACAAGTTTGGAACAAGCTATTAACAACTTGTAACAAGCTTGATGGCATTGTCAGACTTGTTACAAGGTTGTTCTAACAAGTCAGATGCAGTCATGATATTACAAGAATGTTACAAGGTTGACGACGCAAGGTTGTAACAACATTGTTATGACTGTAACGGACTTGTTGGAACAACCTTGCAACAAATCTGATAATATCAACAAGGTTGTTACAAGAAGTTAACAGCTTGTTCCAAACTTGTTGACACCTTGGGCCAAGCAGTGCGAACACAACTTGTTGACGGCTTGTTAGCAGACTTGCGAAGTCTGTAAAGCTGACTCGTACAACACTAGCTTATCTGTCATTAACTGTACCGTTGTTGTTCCTTTAAACTTTTCTTGCCCTCGATGAACAAGGAGAGATGTTCTTTTACGAACGGTATATTCAGGATTGCACCGGCGCTACAAGTTCAACAAAAACTGTGTTAACAAAACTAACAAGAGAAAAGTCCAAATACGAAATTAAGTGGAGAAAATCTGTGATAGAAATTGAATATATTTATCGTTGAAGAAATGCAGCCTTGAAAAATACAAGCAAAACTTCGACGCTTTGAGCGAAAGCTCTTCGTTGGAAAGTTAGTAGGACGAAGAGCCTTCGCTCGAAACGCCGAAATTTTCCTTGTATTTTTCCGGTGGTTGAATCCACAAAAATCTCTCTGTGTTTTTGTCACTACCTGCATACGCTGACACATTGTGGATCATTCGATATTTATCGTTGGCGTACCTTGGTCTATCGTCTGGAGACTTTGACATCATGTGAGATATTAGATTGCCGACGTCTTCACTGTACATTGATGGTATCGGCTAGACAAAGTAAAATTTGATTTATGATCTATGATCATTTCTAACCCTGTCGTGTCAATATATTGATGATGATAATATGGTAGACATACCTCGACATTCCCGCTCACAATTTTGTAAAATAAACTGACAATGTTTCCAGCACTAAATGCTGGGCGTAGAGAACACAACTCGTATAGCAGGCAACCAAGAGCCTAGATACAGTACAAACAAAACACTTTGCTTCAAAATATAAATCACCTTAAATCTTTATTTATACTGCTTAACTCTACCAGTTCTAAACCTCCAAACCTCTCCCTAGGGCTCGGTTGTACCAAGGTGCTATCCACTGGATAATGATTCTTTGAAAAGTTATAAAACTACAGATATTCATGACCTCACAAATTAAATGAAAATTTGACATTTAATACTAAAGTTTAACCCAGATTATACCAATCAATGAGCAATTTAAGAAACGTTGAAAAAAATCACTTTCACAGCGTTATCTGGCCTTCATACAACCAATCCAAAATGTCCAATAATTTGAGTTTCAAATACAAAATAAATATTAGTCATACCCAGATATCAGCTTTTGAGGTATATGGTACATCTTGGCATAATTCTGGACTGAGATAACAAGGTGTACCACAGCACGTCTCAGCCATGTCCAACGTATTCTCCATGACTTTAGCAATGCCAAAATCACCTGAAACGGACACAATAGCTGCATTTCCAGAGTCTGAAATTTTCAGTATCCCAATATTCAATAAACACTAAAATTTGGTTTTGGATACCAAACTGTGAATGACTTGTATCCCGACTGGATATTGCAAAATTTCAAACATTAAAATGCACTCAATAACTTTGAGTAGCGTGAGTTTGCCTTCTTCAAAATACAGTCTAATTGAGTCCAATGAGAGACATCATACATGTACACTACTGCATGCTTACTTTGATGATTCAGGGATGCCAAAATTTATAGTAGCCAGTATCCATGCAAAAGTGTGATACTGAAAACTGGATTCTCAGATGGGACACTAGAACTTTGAAATTTGAATCATGGTATCCCAGTGGGGTAGTCTCTCAGACCCTGATTTCATTACACTGAATCTCTATCACACCATGGCTGTCCGTTATCATTGCTGCCTACAATGTCACAGAACGTCACTTACCTATCTTGACAAGATCTCGTTTTGTTAAGAAGATATTCTGTGTCTTCAGGTCTCTGAAATGTTGTGTTAAAAGACAATTATATTTATAATAAGAACAAAGAAATTCTGTTCTACAATGCTCTGAAAGCAATTACCTGTGCAAAATTTTGTTTGCATGAATATGTTGAACAGCCATTGTCACCTGAACAAACCACTGTTTAATGAAATAAAACAGAATGAAAAATTTTAATATTGTACAAAATTAATCCTCCTAAAAGCTCAACACAAATCTATTTCACCTGCATAATTTGTTCTTCTTTAATGTTTGCATGTTTCTAAACAAAAATATGTCAATTTCACATTAACCCTTTAAGTGGTAATGCACCCTCTACTCTGTCTAACGCCAGACAATTTTACCCGCCAAGTGGAGAGTGCTTCCAGCCTGCCACTCAAGGGGTTAATTTATAATTTCCAGAAGTTGCATTAGCAGCAGAAATATTTAATTTTATCATACCTACCTCTTTTTTATCAAAAATTTGGTCCTGTAAATTACCCCCATCACAATAATCCTGCAATATTCACAATTAATTATCATGAATAATGGGTCATTCCAGAGAAGATCCACACTCTCCCCAAGGAGGAAATTGCTGCCATCCAGAGGGGGGGGGGGTGAGAAAAATTTGTTTCTGGTAATAATAAGTGTATTAGGGCATCCAAAGAGGGTAGGGGGGTTAACTTCCAGTTTACTCTGTGGGGAGGTATGGATGTTTTCTGGAATGACCCAATCATGAGAAAATGAATATAAAATTGCTAATATAAAATTGCTAATATAAAATTGCTAATATAAAATAATCTTCGAAACAAATAAGGATGTACCTATGAAGCGTTATTAGGGTCATAATTCAAATAGACATTCTATTGTGCTAACACTCAATATATGTTTCTTTTATTCGAATATCACAATTTGAATTCTAATAACATAACTTGAAATCAAATAACACAATTTGAAATTTGAAAAGCCAGAACTCCATTTTCAAATGCCAAAACTCTATTTTCAAATGCCAAAACTCCCTTTTCAAATACCCAAACTCCCTTTTCAAATGCCCAAACTCCCTTTTCAAATGCCCAAACTGAGTTTTCAAATGCCAGAACTCCTTTTTCAAAAGTCAGAACTCTGTTTTCAAATGCCAGATCTACTGTTTTGAATTCAAATCATGTTACTGTATTCAAATAACAGAAACATATATTGAGTGTAATAGCACAATAGAATTTCTATTTGAATTATGACCCTAATAATGCTTCATACTAGGGTATGGGGATATACCTGTAATATATATAAGTGTTCTTCAAGATCATCAAAAAAGAAATTGCAACATGTGACAATATGTGGATGTTTTAATGTCGAGAGAATCCTGTAAAAACGATTAAACATGAAAGTTTTAGGTGAGAATAAAGACGATGTTTTTATCTTTGACTGTGCATCCATAAATGCAAATGATGACAATTACCTTGCTTCCTTAAGTACAGATTCTTTCGTGTTTGATTTTGTGTTCAAAATAATCTGTTTCAGTGCATATTGTCTAGATAATATTAAGGTGAAAAATCTCAGATATCTTTTATTCATGAAGATAAATTTCCACCTGAGTTGGCTTTTTGAAGTTCATTAAAGAGGTGATCAACTCAGGTTAGTGTGAACCTTACTTTGATGCAGTGCAAATGAACCGGAACCGAACCCAGATTTCCAGGGCGAATCCCTAACCAGCCAGGGTGCATTTTAAGTGGCCTACGCCGAAGATCTTCGGCGTGAGTTTGGCAAATTACAATACTATCTATAGTTAATATTGGCGTATCTTCAGCGTAGACTTTGCATGGAATGCACCCTGGCTAACCAGGGGTAAGCCAAAGGTATAGCCCTGGGCCCCTGGATATAAGTTCGTGGAGTGTCTTGTCATTTGAAGATAAAAATTGAGTATTTGAGTTGGTTATTGGAAAATCAAATTATAACCCATACACTTGATGGTTATATACATTAAATACTCAACGCCATCAACATACACATAAATGATCATTTTACAAACTTTAAACAACCACTACTACAGTATTAATAAAAGCACACATAAATATACAGTGCATATCTTACAATAACTGCAAAATTATTTACCTCTGATCTTCCTTGCTTCGCACCAGAAACACTTTCCCGGAACCACCCCGTCCAATTGTACTGACTATATCATAATTTTCCATCAATCAAGCACAGTAAACACATCCATTCATTTGTCACACAAACACGCGTTCATTTACGCATTTCAAACATGAAACTATAGCTCTCAATTTCATCTACTTATCAGCCTTGTATAAATACCAAAATCCACTAAATAACTAATTAATATCCATATTTTACTATGATTTGTTGAATAAAGCGATCGACCAAATATGTTAAAAGATTTCAATCAATTTTCACACAAAAACAAACTTTTAGTTATTGTTTTGTTTATGTTTTCGGCCATGGCGCATTTTGGGGAAACCCTTTAATTAGCGCCGAACGTTTACCGTTTTTTGACCCACCAGGAAAAATTGTTTATCTGTTTTTGAAAAATTAAATATTTATTTAAACTATCAAATAGTTTTAAACGAAAGCTAACAATCTCAATAAACTGTAGAAATAATCAAAAGTGTTTAATATCGTTTAAAACTTTAAAAAATAAAGAAAATTTAGAAAATAGAAATTTCCAATATTTTCGCCAAATTTATCGCTTCTTCGGCCGCGTTCATTTAGGTCTGGGTACCAGCTGCATGTTTTACAAGATTTTGTGAAGTTCATTTGGAAAAAATCTTTCAAAAAAACAACTAAAAACACAAACGATCGCAATTTTTTTAGCTTTACGGCTTTGTTGTAAGATAAAGGAGATCTATGGCTTCACAAACAAGCAGCCAGCAACTCGTTCAGCCGAAATCTTGGGGTAGGTTGAAAGATGATTTTTGGGTTGTTTTTTTCGTCGTGTTTTTTTGGAAATGTTTGTAGATTATGTTTTATATAGCTTGGATCTGCTTTGATGTTTGTCATTTTAGTGTTTTGTAGTATATATAACATAATAAAGGCTGATCTGTTATTTTTGAAAGATTTGTGTTTGATTTTACGTATTGTAAACAAGTGACATACAAGATATGAGATATCTAAAGATCATGACAAGGTCATATTTTCAAAGACATGTATCCTAGGTAGCATTCTGCAATTTTTTATGTAGCCCTACACTAGATACATACACCATCAAAAGATGCTATCAAATAGGTC